TCCGAGGCGGCAGCAGCGCCGCTCGCCCGCGCGGGGTGGGGGCCGTTAAAAATAAACGCATAAATAAATAAAATGGAATACTCCCATTACATGAATGCTGTCGAAAAACCCGGTCCAAAGAATAGGGCTGGGGCCAGCAAGAACAACCTGACTTAAGGTCAGTTAAGCTAAAGGCAGATGGGCGTTTTGACTGACAAGAGCTTGCATAAGGCTAACCCGCCACCAGTAACCACAGTTGTGACTAAACAGTCATTTTATTTATTAGGTTTAATTGCTATACACATTCTGATGAGGGAGGAAATTAAATTACTGATACAAAATGTAAATATCCTCTGCTCTGTGCAACACATGTTGCCCCCCCAAGAACTGCAAAGAAAGGCAGTTTTTTTATACATAGATTAGACCATTAGCTACCATTTTCTATGGTCAGGAATCCTGAACATTTACTGAGATAAAGACTTGGCTAATTGTTGCTCAGCTCACGCTGTGGTGAATTTTGGGGTGCAGTAAGGGAAAATATATGGAGAAAGATCTAACTACGAGCTCAGAGAAACAGAACTTGGTGGTGAAATTCCCCAAAGCTTAGACAGGGCATGAAAACAGAGTGAGAAAATACCCACCACCACCTTCAGCACCTCCTGAAAGTCTGTTCTTACCGCACCTAACGAAGGCAAGGAAGAAGACAGGACAAGACCTAAAAGTTTTAGGTAGCATATGGGTGTTGGAGGAAAGAAAATACTTTTTACAGAAAGACAAGACAGGAAATGACCAGAGCAGCCTCAATAGCCTGATTAGAAGTCACTGAAGGTTAATTTTTGCTGCTTTGTGCATTTCATATTGCAGATATTTTCCTGTTCATGCTGTACTACCAGATCATGATCAAACACACCCTCTTGCAACACATTTGCCCTTGGGAAAATACCTTATTGTCTGCTACCACAAACATATCTAATCTCATGTTTAGTCCTTTGACCTGTTAATGGTTAAAGCAGAGGACATCTTAACACATTTTTTTTTCTTTCTGGCACAAGCCCACTGTGACCATCTACAAGTATTCAAGTAGGAAAGAGAATAAATGTATTAAACTTTTTTTTTTTTTAGCTTAACAGCTATTATATGTCAATGTAATTCTATGAAAAACCTGGAAACCTTCTAAGATTATTTCTCATCTCCCATGTGTAAAACAGCACTCCTGTTCCCCTTTTCAAATATGGTCATATGTTCCTGTTCCATATCTTGGATTGTACTCATCTGGCAAATTAGAGCAGGCTATTCACCTGACTGATAAAATCTATTTTATATATATATATGTTTAGTCTTTAGTTGAATCAGCAAACCAGTATGAATCATAGTAGGGTCACAAGTCCTCCAGCTATCAATAAGAAGGAATGGGAACACAATCAGCACACAAAAGATATTTGCAAAACCAGATCTAGAGCTAGACATTTCATTACAATTAAATTAATAAGAGCAATGAAAAAAAAAAAGTATGTATTTCTCGTTACTACGACCATATTGTAAAATCAGCTAGAGTAATCTTGTTATCCAACAAAAAAAAAAGCAACAGACAGAACAAAATCACTTAACTGAGAAAATATTTGTCTTTTAAGTAGAAACAAGTACATGGAAAGAGGAGATGACCTGATAAAAGCAGGAAAAGTAAGAGGCAAACAAGTTAAGAAAAGTATGATTTGGTTCTTGAGAATCCAGGATCACCGTCTTACACAGCAACTCTGTCAATACCACAGAGAGGTAAATCTCAGAAGCACTGATTACGAGGCAGATATCTTTTTGATTAACAAAGCAGACTACCATATTCCATTTCCCTACGCTGCTAGCACCCTGCTTGCGAACGGAAGGAAGTGGAATGCTGTTCACTTAATTGCTTGACCAGGGTTACCTCTGGATGTGCCTGAAGCAGCAGGGGTAGTAATCAAAAACTCCTCAACTGCTCTGTTATGAGGAGCCAACTTGCGAATAAAATATTGGCTACACGTCTGCTGCACATACAGAGTTCAGGGCTATAGTGCAAAATATAAAATGGGAAACAGCCTCACCTACTGGTTTGAGGATATACAGCATTGTATCTGAAGTGTTTAATGCTCATTGCTTGGTTTTATTTTGCTTCTATCCCCTGTTCCTCCTAAAGGAAAAAATCAACAAGAATTTCCACATCTCCCCCCCCCCTTTTTTTTTTCTTTTTTCACTTTTACTGCTGCACTGTTTATGTAGCAACAGCAAGAACATTCTCTCAAAACTTGAGAACTCTTTAGATAGTTGATAAAAGGAGAAGCTCTGGATCTATTTTTTATCTCTCATTCATTATTATAGACAGACATGTATAAAGCTAAGATTACCATTTAGTTTCATTTTAAGCTTTTGAAATTTTACTAAAATTTTATAGTGCTCATGATCAGATATTCCATGGGAATATTTGATTTAAAACTTTAATCTCAATGAGATTAAAATCTGAACTTCTGCTAAAACATGCAGGCGATGCTGACACTCGCTGCTTTCTGAGAGATGCCGACACTGACCTACGCTGCTGACACGTCCCCTTCCCCTCCGGTGCGACGGGGGCTCGAGCTGCCCAAGCTGCTCAGCACCGGCAGGGCACCCGTCCCAGCAGTCCCCAGCGTTTCCCTGACCCCAGCGTGCTCTGTTAGGCCTCATGTTCCTTCAGGATACTGGCCTGAAGTTCACACATTTTCCAAATAAGTCGTTTGGTTTTGCCAAAGTTAAAGCTTTAGCGCCTCAGTCGTTACTTCATTATTTTGATCGCAGAAAGTATTTTAAAGAACTGATGTCACTGGAGGAAGTTACTTAAATTACTCTTCATGGAAAGAAATTTAATGGAAGCTATTCCCAAATCCAAGAAAACAGAGCTTTGGTTTTTTTCCTGCTGTTAGGCTGTCGGAGGGACAAAGCTTCCCACAACACAGCACTCAAATCACTCACTTTTAATTTTACTGCCTTTTGATTTACTAACTTCTGTCCCAATAGCACTGGCAGGAAGGACAGCTTCTTCTGTAAGGCCACAATTAATGGTGGAAAGCAGGCCAGTTAATTGCTAAAAGCTCAGACCCCATGGAGAGAGGTAATACTCTTCTGCTCCATAGCAGCATCCTTCCTTTCTCTTCCCATTATAATAAAACAAACAAACCCGTTATATCCGTTTGCTCTGTCCACACTTCTCTCTAGTTCCTCTGTGCAGTAGTCACTGCACGTAAGCAGTCATCTCAGTCTGGTGTCCTTCAAACCAAACAGATAAATAATATTTTACTTCAAGTGGAAATTAAATTGTTTTGCATAGCTGCAGTGTTGTCTAGGTTATCATCTGACACCGGTGTAAAGGCGCGCACACTTCCACACAAGAGAAGGGGACACTGCTGCGTCCCATCCTTCCCGAGCCCACCAAATTGATCTTAGATAGCTCAACGTGAAGCACAAGCATCCACAAACACCTATATCTGCAGCACAAAGAGAAGGGATGATTCCCCAGACTGAATGTTTGTTTCAAAAGCTGCATTTCCTGCCTATGGGTTGAACACTTTTTCCAATCTGCATCACAGAAAGAGAAACAGATATAGCAAAACAAGTTATCAGAAATTATCTGGAAAAATATTGATAGAAAAGCCACTTAGCTACCATTTTTATAACAATGACATCTTTAATTTCATTACAAATACCCTTTTTGTTTACAGATCAACTGCGCTAGATGCTGAAGCTCTTCACAAGACAGATGCACGTGCACTTATGCATTAGTAAAAATGTGAAATGACAGCAAACTTTAATGAGAATGACACTGTTCTTTTATGTCATGATGCAGGATATAACGTTCACTGCCCTTTCTCGCTATCAGGTTTTCAGGCCCTTGTTTGCAAAACTACCAGTGTAAAATACCCATTTGATTTCACTAGTATTTTCATTCTAGCAGAAACACAGGACTAATATCTTTCTCTCAGATAATCACATAAATTCCTCATTCTCTAACAGGGGCCCTATGTATTTGTTTCCATTTGAATGATTCATCATTAATACTTTTCTTTCTTACCTTTCAGTCACATTTGAAATGATTGCCTTAGAAGATCATGAGAAGAAGAATGGTTGCTCTTGGTAAAGGTAATTATTGTTAGAACTTGAGAGAAAGAACATTAATGATTAGCTTTATTCTTTTTTTATATACTGAGAAACACACAAAGGCACCAATCATATCACATAAAAATACTTAAAATATTATTTTCTCTGTTCCAAAAAGTATACACAAAGATCATTACAATAGCTCCATAACAAAACAGGAACACAAAAAACTCCCACCCAAACTCCTAAGACTGTTAATTACAAGGAAAAAAAATGGCTTTGTCATTAACAAACAAACTCTACCTTGTCTTCCTATTAAACAGGCAATCACCTTTAGATTTGTAATATGGGTTTTTTGACTCCTTCAATTCTCTACTGCATAGTAAAAATAGTTTGATAGAACAAAGAAGAATTGTTCTTTATAAATGATGGCTTGTTTACATGTTCTATATCTGCAGCATAATGTGTCCAGGTGACAGACCTCCCATTACTGTGAAACCGTGAA